TCATAATTAAATACCAAAAATTAAAGACAGAGAGAATCTTAAACACAGCAAGAAAAAAGTATTTTGTTACCTAAAAGGAAGCTTTCATAACACTGTCAGTTGATTGTTCATCAGTAACTCTATAGGCCAGAAGTAGCCACATGAAATATTCATAGTAATGGAAAGCAAGGCTAAAATCAAGATTACTATATCCAGCAAGGCTATCATTCAAAATAGATAGTTAAATAAAGAGCTTCCAAGGCAATAAAAAGCTAAAGAGGATTATCACCACCCAACCACCACTGCAAGAAATGCTAAAGAACCTGCTGTAATAGAAGGAGAGAAAGAGAGAGAGGGGGGAGAGGGGAGAAACATACGCATAGAGAATTAAAAGGCAATAAATAAGTACCTATCAATAATAAACTTAAATGTAAATGGATTAAATGCTCCTATCAAAAGACATAGGGTAGCTGAATGGATATGAAAACATGAGCCAATCTAAAAGAGACCCACCTCAGAACAAAATAATTACACAGGATGAGAGTAAAAGAATGGGGGGGAAAATTTCCATGCAAATGGAAACCCAAAAAAAGCTGGTGTAGTAAAACTCATATCTGACAAAATGAACGCCATCACAAGAGAATAAAGGTCCCTGCATTATACTAAAGGGATCAATCCAATAAGACGATATAACCTGGGTAAACATATATGCACCCAATATAGGAGCACCTAAATATATGTTTAAAAAATTTTCTGGAGAACTTTCAGGGAGAGAACTACAGCAAGACGGTTATAGTAGGGCATTTGAACACTCTGCTGAATTCACTAGATAGATATTCCAGACAAAATATTAATAAGAAAACAGTGACTCTAAAGGACACACTAGATCAGATGGAACTAATTGACATTTACAAAAATTTTCACCCCAAAGCTGCAGAATATACATTCTTCACAACTAACTGCACATGGGTCATTCTCAAAGATAGAACAAATGTTAGGACAAAAAACAAGTCTCTTCAAGTTCAAGAAGATTGAAATCATATCAAGCATCTTCTCAGATAGCAATGGAATGAAATTAGAAATCAACTACAGTAAAAACACTCGAAAAATTCAAACACGTGGAAGTTAAATAGCATGTTATCAAACAATTAATGATTTACCAATGAGATCAATAAAAAAAATAAAAAAAATTCCTGGACACAAATGAAAATGAACACATAACAACCCTAAATTTATGGGGCATAGCAAAAGCAGTCCTGAGAAGGAAGTTTATGTAAACCAATAAATTATTTAAACTTACAACTTAAAGAATTAGCAAAAAAAAAAGAAAAAGAAAAAAAACAAAACAAGAAAAGCCCAGAGTAAGCAGAAGAAAAGCAGTAATAAAGATCAGAGCAGAAATTAATGACATAGAGACTGAAAAAAAAAATACAAAAGATGAATTAAAATAGAAGCTGGTTTCTAGAAAAGATAAATAAGATGGATGAACCTTTATCCAGATTCATTAAGAAACAAAGTAAGAGGACCCAAATAAACAAAATCAGAAATGAAAGAGATGATGTAACAACTGACCCCAAAGAAATATAAAGGATTTAAAAAATAAATAAAATACTATGAACAATTATATACCACCAAGATGGGCAACCTGGACAAAATAGATATATTCCTAGAAAAAGATATTCTTCCTAATAAATCAGGAAGAATTGAAAATTTGAATAGGCCCACAAGTGATGAAATAAAAGCAGTAATAAAAATAAATAAAATAAAAATAAAAACTCCCAACAAACAAAAGCACTGGTTTGGACAGCTTCACAGGGAATTTTGCCAAAAATTCAATGAAGAATAAACACCTATCTTCCTCAACCTATTTCAAAAAAATCCAAGAGGAAGGAATAGTTCTAACATCTTTTTATGAGGTCAGTATAGGCCTAATTCCAAATCCAGATGAAGATACTACAAAGAAAGAAAATTACAGGCAAATATCCTTGATGAAAATAAATGTTAAAATCCTCAACAAAATAATAGCATATTGGATCTAGCAATATATTTAAAATATCACACACCATGACCAAATGGAATTTACTCCAGGGATGCAAGGCTGGTACAACATTCATAAATCAATAAATGTGAATTAAATATTAAAAGACAAAAATCACATGATCATATCAATAGATGCAGAAAAAGCATTTGGCATAATCCAACATACATTTTTTTATAAAACTCCCAGAAAAAAATGAAAATAGAGGGAATATGCCTCAACATAATAAAAAGCAATATATGACAAGCCTATAGCCAACATCATACTCAATGAGCAAATCTAAAAGCATTTCCACTAAGAATAGGAAAAAGACAGAGATGTCCTCTTTCACCACTCTTATTCAACATAGCCACAGAGATCTGACAAGAAGAAAACATGTAAAACCTCCAAATTGGAAAGGAAGAAGTAAAACTCTCATTCACAATGACATGATATTCTACATAGTTATACTACAAGTTATACTATAAACCACTCTAATCAAAACAGGTTGGTATTCACACAAGAACAAGTATATAGATCAATGGAACAGAACAAAGACCCCAGAAATCTGTCCAAGGCTTTGTTCTTAATTAACATTTGACAAAGGAGGCAAGAGCATACAATTGAGTCAAGACAGTCTCTTTAATAAATGGCATTGGGCAAATTGGACAGATACATGCAAAAAATGAAACTGGACCACCAACTTACACTATACAAGAATAAACTCGCCAGGACCGGTTTGGCTCAATGGATAGAGCGTCGGCTTGGGGACTGAAGGGTCCCGGGTTCAATTCCGGTCAAGGGCATGTACCTTGGTTGCGGGCATATCCCCGGTAGGGGGTGTGCAAGAGGCAGCTGATCAATGACTGTCATCGATGTTTCTAACTCTCTCTCTCTCTCTCTTCCTCTCTGTAAAAATAAATAAATAAATAAATAAAAATAAATAAATAAATAAATAAAATAAAATAAAAAAAGACTTAAATGTAAGTTGTGAAACCATAAAAAACAGAAAATATAGGTAGTAAAACCTCAGTCATCTCTCATGGCAACATATTTGTGGATACATCCCCTAGGGCAGTGGTCGGCAAACTCATTAGTCAACAGAGTCAAATATCAACAGTACTGTTCCAACTCACCCTCAGGTGGGAACATATGCACAGGTGACTGGGGTCCCTCAGCCAGAGAATTGGACTTATAGGGGTTTCCCACAGTACTTAACTAAAATTGACCGAGCATAAACTAAACACAGACACAAGAGTTAAAATGCATGAATCCCAAGGTTTATTTACCAGAGTCCTGGTGGTTTCCAGAAGCCTCGGCAGGTCACCTGGAGATCCGCGCCGACAGACACACACCCTGGACAGGAGCGTGCCGCTGCAGCGTCTCCGTCAGGAACGAGGCCTCAGAAGTTTGGCTCACAGGCAGAGTGACAGCTTCACTCAGGCAGAGTTTCATGCACTAGTTCGAACAGGGAGAAGAGAGTGGGAGAACATGTCAGGTGGGAGAGCCCTTCGTGGTCTCTGCCCAGTGCCTCTAGGTCCCTTCTTTTATGGCCATTTCTGGGTGTTTCCTTGTTCCTTCTGGGTGCAACCAATGGGTCTTCAGTGTGCCTAATAGGGTGCTCTCCAGGTACTTTTTGCCTAGGTTTCCAACTTTCCAGATAAAACACTTGTTAGGGCATCCACACAGTTACAACTTTCCAGATGAGCACATGTTAGGGCGTTCACACAGTTAGGGGCTCAAAGTCAGTTTTAAAACTCAAGTTTTACAAAATGGATTCAAGTCACATTATATGGAGTTACTTATACTAAGCCTAAAACACATTTCAAATAATTTCTTTTACTTAAAATAAAATCAGAATAAGATCAGAAATACAATTCACACTTAAACTATAAATCACTCATAAAAGTAAATGCTTTCATTCCTATTTTAAATCACACAAATAATTATTCTTACAGTTTTAAATCCTTAAAACATCACACTAATATAACTATAACAAATACAACCATTGAAATTTCTTTTGAGAGCCAAATTTTTTAAACTTAAACTTCTTCTAACGCCACTTCTTCAAAATAGACTCACCCAGGCCACGGTATTTTGTGGAAGAGCCACACTCAAGGGGCCAAACATCCGCATGTGGCTCTCGAGCCACAGTTTGCAGACCACGGCCATAGGGCAAGGGAAACTAAGAAGGAAATAAACAGATGAGACCACATCAAAATAAATATGTCTGCACATCAAAAGAAACCATCAACAAAATGAAAAGGGAGCCCACTGTGTGGGAGAATATATTTGCCAATGATACTACTGATAAAAGTTTAATATCTGAAATATATAAGTAACTCATACAACTTAACAAAAGGAAGACAATACAACTAAAAAATTGGCAACGGTTCTAAATAGACACTTCTCCAAAGTGGACATTCAAATGGCCAAGAGACATATGAAAAATGCTCAAAGTCACTGATCTTCAGAGAGATGCTAATTAAGTTGACAGTGAGGTACTTATTACCTCACCCCTGTCAGAATGGCTATCATCAACAAATCAACAAAGGCCAAGTGCTGGAGGGGATGAGGAGAAAAAGGAACCCTTCTTCACTGCTGGTGGGAATGCAGACTGGTGTAGCCACTTTGGAAAATAGTATGGCATTTCCTCAAAAAAGTAAATATGTAACAGCCATTTGACCCAGTTATCCCACTTCTTGGAATATATCCTATGATACACCAAATAAGAAAGAATGTCTGAATCCCTGTTCATAGCAGCATAATTTACAATAGCTAAGATCTGAAAACAGTCCAAGTACCCATAAGTTGATTTGCTGAAAGAAAATATTTTATTTTAAATCATTAACATTTATAATAGTGATTAATCAGATATTATATGTTAATTTTTCTAATACATAAGCATATCTAAACAAGAACATAAACTGTATTAACCAATGAACCCCAATATATTTAATATTTTAAATGCCATTTAATAACATTTGATATTTTTTTCTTGCAGAATTTTTCCACACAAGGAGTTCCAAAGTCAAACTATATCCAAACAGAGAGACCAATTGGATACTCAAGTTCTGAAGAGCAAGAAATGCCTTATAGGATGAATCGTGTGCAGATGAAATTCAACTATTAAAAGTTTCCTGCATTCAATTATCATCTCTTACACATTTAGCTTTTCTTTTCTCATCCCTCTGTGACCACAGAGCAAAACTTTCATTTCCAGTATCCAATTTCATTAACTCATCAGAGAATAAAAATACTTATCTTCAAAATTCAGCATAACACTTGGTTCCTGATTTATTACATGTATATTTATAAAGCGCTCAGTGAAATGCACAGAAGGTTGGTTGCAAATTGCTTATAGAATATACTGAACGTTTTTTATTTACTGTATAAATCTAATGTATTACACCAAAGCATCAGCATATAAATAATATATTATACTTAAAAGATGCAATTTGATTATAAACTAATTCCTTAAAATAAACTAAGAATTGCTCAATTATTTCTGTACACTGAGTGCAGCAGTGGAATTATCCCAAAATCTAGGTTGCTCCTTCCCTTCTTTGTTTTCTTCCCTTATTTCTTCTCCTCTTCCTTTATTCCTCAGGATGGTGAAGGACTAGTGTAGGGGAGCAACCTGGTGGAGTGGGGTCAATGGGTTCAAAAAGGGGGGACATCTGCAATTATTTTTTATATTATTACAGATGTTCCTCTTCCCCCCCCCCTCTGTTGCTCCCCTCCACCAGGTTCCCACCCCACACTCTGCCCTTTCCCCACCCATCATTGTCCTCATCCATAAGTGCACAGTTTATGTTCAGTCTCTTCCCACATCCTCATCTCCCCTTTTCCCCGAGAATCGTCAGTTCACTCTCCTTCCATACCACTGATTCTATTATATTCAACAGTTAATATTATTCATCAGATTAAAAAAAAAAATTTTTGTTTTTAGATTCACTTGTTGATAGTTACATATCTGTTGTTCATAGTTTTTATCTTTATTTACTTTCTCTTCCAAAAGAACCCCCTTCAGCAATTCATATAATTCTGGTTTGGTGGTGGTGAACTCCTTTAGCTTTTTTTTTATTGGTGAAGCTCTTTATCTGGCCTTCGATTCTGAGTGATAGCTTTGCTGAGTAGAGTATTTTTGGCTGTAGGTTCTTGCTATTCATCACCTTGAATATTTCTTGCCATTCCCATCAGGCCTGCATGGTTTCTGTTGAGAAATCAGCTGACAATCATATAGGTGCTCCTTTATAGGTAACTACCTGCTTTGCTCTTGCTGCTTTTAATATTCTCTCTTTGTCTTTTGCTCTTGGAATTTTAATTATGATTTGTCTCGGTGTGATCTTCTTTGGATTCCTTTTGTTTGGAGTTCTGTGCACTTCCTGGACTTGTAAGTCTATTTCTTTCACCAGGTGGGGGAAGTTTTCTGTCACTATTTCTTTCAGTATGTTTTCAATATCTTGCTCTCTCTCATCTTCTGGGACCCCCATAATTCTGATGTTGGTTCCCTTGAAGTTGTCCCAGAGTTTTCTTACATTGTCTTCAACTTTCTGGATTCTCTTATCTTCTTGTTTCTGCAGAGGAGTGACTTCTGGCTCTTTATGTCCCAAATCTTTGACTTTATTCTTGCATCTTCCATTCTGTTTTTAGGAGTCTGTATAATATTTTTTATTTCAGACAATGTATTCTTTATTTCTTGTTGATCTCTTATTATTTCTTGTTGATCCCTTATTATTTCTAGTTGATCCCTTTTCATATCCTCATAGGTCTCGTTTATTTTATTGGCCTTTTCTAGGAGATTCTTGAACAACCTTATAAGTGTGGTTTTGAACTCTATATCTAATCGCTTTTTCTCCTCCATTTCTTTCATTTGTGATCTATTTCCTTGTCTCGGCATTTTCGCAGCTTCCCTGATGGGGGCAGAATTTCAGGGTGGAGCCTACAGCCTTGGCTTCTGTCAGCCATGCCCTATGCGGCTCCTGAGTCTCAGTATTCCTCAGGGTCCTTCGGTACTCACTGCAAGCACCTCTGAGAGTGAGGTGCCCTCGAGTTTTGCCTGCTACCAAACAGTCTAGTCTCTCCCCCAATGAGTCCCGAACTGGGGTTCAGTTCAGTTGGAAGTGGGGTTCAGAGCAGTCTGGAGCTTTTGTTTCCTTCCCGCCAGGACAATCCCATGACAGAGCCAAAAGTCCATTCTCTGAGAGTAATGTGTGCACCTCTGGGGGCTCTGCCTTTTGCCGCTCCCCGGGTTTCCACCTTACAGCCCAGCTCCCTCTATTTGAGCCTGGGTCCCCAGGGTCTGGCCTAGAACTGGGGTTCAGCGCTGTCGAGTCTGAGGTTCAGCACAGTCCAGAGCTTTTATCTGCTTCCCACTAGGGAACGCCAGCCAGGCATTCAGCCGCCCTCCTCTCCGGCTCCGTCCTCTCTGCGCGTGCCGCGTGTCTCCGTACCTTGGGCTTTTACAGCTCCTCCGCGCTTCCTTCTGGTTTTCTCCTTGCTTCTCGTTGTAGAATTTCCAGTCAGTCGACTTTCCTGTAGTTCTGGGTAATGTCCATTTTATATTTTAGTTGTATTTTATTGAAATTGTTGTATGAGGCTGCGGTTAGGTGTTTACCTGTGCAGCCATCTTGGATCCTCTCCAATAAAGATTTTTTTTTTTGATCAAGCCTCGACTTCATTTTTTGAAATGGCTGTATATATACAGCAGAAACAAAGGGGGCAGGATTGCCTATGCAGAGAGGTCTTTGGCAGTGTACAATTGGTTTAGGCACTCAGTGGCAAGGTGGTAAGGTATCTGGCAACACAGGATTGGCTAACTGCCAGGGCGGCGTAACATTCCAAGGTCAAGATTTTTTTAAAGTATATATATTTTTATTGATTTTTTACAGAGAGGACAAGAGAGGGATAGAGAGTTAGAAACTTCAATGAGAAAGAATCATCTATCAGCTGCCGCTTGCACACCCCCTACTGGGGATGTGCCTGCAACCAAGGTACATGCCCTTGACCGGAATTGAACCTGGAACCTTTCAGTCTGCAAGCGGATGCTCTATCCACTAAGCCAAACTGGTTTCGGTAACAATAAAGATTTTTAAAAGTATTCATTTCACACCAACTATGACAAACACTAGTTAGTTACTAAGGTACACAGATGAACTTGAGATAGTTCCTGGCGCTCAGACTGATAGAAAAGACAGAGATAAAAATCACTTATCATTTTCCATTGTGATCAATACAATAATTAAAAAAATGTATACAAGTAAGTAGGAAATTTCAAAGAATAATTAACCATGCCTCGGGAGAAGTGTGATAATAGTGGAGAAGAAAGCCATAAAAAATGAGGTGATGCCTAAGCTATCATAAAAGGTAAGTGGGAGTTAGCTTTATGAAGGGAGGTTGGGGGAAAATTTTTGAGACAAAGCAAAAGGCACAGTACTGAAAACAACATGGAGTATGCAGATCTTCAATGAGTGTTAAAGTGAGGTTGATGAGGTAGTCAGACTATATCATAAAATATCTCCAATGACTTATTTAAACTAAATTTTAGTGGTTATGTGAATATATTGAAGGGTTATAATTAATACTCTCAACAACAATAAATTAAAATTAAATCAATAAAATAAAATTGTTTTTAAAAAGTAAAAAATAAAAGAGTAAAAAATAAAACCTCTCTATGGAGGCCATGAGACTCTGTTTCAGAGCCCCCTAACCAAAGACCCAAGCTACAGTGCTATGAAATTAATCCCTGCATTTACCTGGAAGATATACCTTCCCCCAGGCTACTCTTAGCATATGCCAGAGAGAAACTAATGTAACTTCATTTCTGAGAGTTATGGAACTCTCCTAATGGCTGACTTTCTCTTGAAGACTCCCCAATGGCTTTGCAAAACCTTCCTTAGATTGCGCAGCAGTCCAGGACACTTCCAAATATCCTTCCCTTTCTCCTTCACTCAGGGTCAGACTTTCCCAGACTTTTGAAGATCCCTCCCCATTTTCTCTCAACAGTTGTTTCCCCTAAAAAAAAATCCATGCATATTCTGATATGATTTTGATGTTTGCTGCTGAGAGGACCTAGTTAAACATAACCCTTAACACTATATCCCCCTAAAACTTTCCTTTACAGTCAAGCTTCTGGAATGAGTTGTCTACTCCCAGTCTTTATTTCTTTCTCTTTCCTTCATTCCTCAATTCACACAAATTTAGCTTGAATATCTACTACACATGTTACCTTATCCAAAGTATTCTTATTAGGGTCATTGATTACCTCTGTGTCACAAAATCTAATATATATTTTGTAGTCTTTATTTTACCTCTCATCAACATTCATCACCAATGACCCTCCTTACAACATTCTCTTCCTTCAGTTTTGTGAAAGTATGCTCTCTTTGTGTGTGTGTGATTTTTTTTTTAATTTTATTGTCTAAAGTTTTACATGTGTCTTCTTTTTCCCCAATTGATGCCCCCTCTCCCCCACCCCCACCCCGCCATTCCCATCCCGGGCAAGCCCTCACTGCGCCAGTATCTGTGTCCATTGGATATGCCAATATGCATGCATACATGACCTTTGGTTGCTCTCTAACACCCCATCCCTACCATTTGTCTCTGGATCTATTCTTGTTCATCAAATTATGTTGATCACTATATCTCACAAATGAGTGAGATCATGAGATATTTATCTTTCTCTTCCTGGCTTATTTAACTTAACATAATCTCTCCAGTTCCATCCATGCAGTTGCAAATGGTAAAAGTTCCTTCTTTTTTATAGCAATATAGTATTCCATTGTATAGATGTACCAGTTTTTATTTTTTTTAATAAATTTTTATTGTTCATATTATTACAAATGTTTCTTCCCTCCCCCTCCATTGCTCTCCTCCACCAGGTTCCCACCCCACCCTCTGCCTCCTCCCCACCCCCCCATTGTTCTCATCCATAGGTGCATAGTTTATGTTCAGTCTCTTTCCACATTCCCCTCTCCCCTTTTCCCCATGAATCGTCAGATGTACCAGTTTTTAAACCACTTATATGCTGATGTAGATTTTAGGCTCTACATCAGCAGTTCTCAACCTGTGGATGTTGAGAACTGCTAGTAGGGTCACCTAAGACCATCAGAAAACACAGATATTTACATTACGATTCACTAACAGTA